TTAACCTATAGCTGGCCAAAGGTACAAGTGTGCATCCTCTTCACAATTATTTAAAAATGTTTTGTTAGTTGTACTGACAAACTGTACAACTAAATGATAAAAATCAATCAATAAATACACTTTTATAAATTATCCAGTCTATGGCATACAGCAACAGAAAGTGGACTAAGACAATTAAGTACTACTTATACTTTAAGTGGGATCACTATAACATGTACTGTTTGCATAAGCTCTTCAAATAACATATTAAGAAAGTTACATCCATATGTTGAAAAGTTATTTAAACTAAATCTGTCCATTGATACTGACTAGATTGTAGACATGTTTCTGTGTCGTCTGGGAGATGATGCACACTGACATTGCCTCATGCATTGGTTAAAGGGAGATGTAGTCTTACCAAAAGAATCAAGTTTCCTTAATAGAAAAATATTTTAGAACATTTTGGAGGACAATATCTACTTCCACTATTTTCATACTGTCCTCCAAAATGTTGTATCAGGCCTGGTGCCTGTGGCTCAAGTGGCTAAGGCGCCAGCCACATACACCTGAGCTGGTGGGTTGAAATCCAGCCTGGGCCCACCAAACAACAATGATGGCTGCAACCAAAACATAGCCAAGTGTTGTAGTGGGCACCTGTAGTCCCAGCTACTTGGGAGGCGGAAGCAGGAGACTTGCTTGAGCCCAGGAGTTGGAGGTTGCTGTGAGCTGTGATGCAACAGGACTCTACCCAGGGTGACAGCTTGAGGCTCTGTCTTAAAAAAAAAAAAATGTTGTACCAGTTAGTATGCCCAAGAAATATTTCATGAAAGAGTGCATTTTTTACATACTGAGTGTTACCAATTTTTAGTCTTTTCCCAAGCCGGTATGGGGAAAATGGTATGTCTTTACTTTTTTTTTTTTTTTTTTTTGATACAGAGTCTCACTTTGTTGCCCTTGGTAAAGTGATGTGGCGTCACAGCTCCCAGCAACCTCAAACTCTTGGGCTTTAGTGATTCTCTTGCCTGCAGCCTCCCAAGTAGCAGGGTCTACAGGCACCCGCCACAATGCTCGGCAAGGCAATTTTTTTGTTACACTTGTCATTGTTGTTTAGCAGGCCTGGACCAGGCTTGAACCTGCCAGCCTCAGTGTATGTGGCTGGTGCTCTGCTCACTGAGCTATGCTTCCTGAGCCATGTTTTTACTATTAATTTGTTTGTTCAGGGGTGCAAAGGTGAGCATATTTCAGTGTTTGGCATCTGTATTTCTTTTTCTGTTTCTTTTTTTTGCAATTTTTTGCTGTGGTTGGGTTTGAACCCGCCACCTCCGGCATGTGCGGCCGGTGCCCTACTCCTTTGAGCCACAGGCACTGTGCTTTTTCTGTTTATCTTTTGTATGTTTTCTAACACCAAGTGTGAAGCTAAACACATGTTTATTTGCCTCCAAATTGCCATTTTTCGTTTCCCTTTGGTTATATATATTTTGCTGTATCATACTGGTAAAATTAAAGTCTAGGTTGTGTTTGAAAAATAGCATAAGGCTAGATCCCCTCCCCTCTCAAGGGTGTGGATATAGCAGTTCTTCCACTTTCCATCCTCATCAGGCTGCAAACATACATTTATTTCTCCTGCTGTGGAAAAAAAAATCCCTCTTCAGCTTATTTTTCTTTGCAGCTTCTGTTTTATTTCCTTCCCTTTGTAACAAATCTCCTGGAAAGAGTTAGCAGTGCTCCCTGTCTTTAATTTCTTATTCTTTCATCCATCCTCTGCATTCAAGTCTTTGCCCCCTGCCTCCCAACTGTTCTCAATTGAAGTTCTCTTGATCTTTGTTTTGCCAAATGCAGAGGTCAATTCTCAGCTCTTTTCACCCTATGTCTGTTAACAGCATTTAACATGGCTCTTCCCTCCTTAAAACACTTTTCATCTCTTGGCTTCAAGGACGCTATACTTTTTACCTCTTTTTTTTGGTCAGCCCTCAACCCCTTAGTGATCTCATCCATTGCCTAAATTTATACTTCCCAACCTTGGCCTCTTCTGTGAATTCTATTCCTGTTTATCCAGTTGCCCCATGCCTACATCTGAATGTCTGATAGACATCTTAAAATGTCCTAAATTCAACTCTTGGTCTCTCACTCCTCCAAACCTGTTTTGTCCCCAGTCTGCCCCATTTCAGTGGATGGCAGCCTTAATTATTACATTTGCTCAGCCAGGAATTTTAAGGAATAAAGGGGAGGATCTTAAGTGACCTTGGGAAGTTGGTAGACAGTAAAAGGTGGGAAGTAGGTTATATCGTCTGGTCATATGAGATTCAGAATTGCTTAAATTTTATAATGGAGGAAGAGAAAATAATCTACAAGGAGAAAAGAAGAATGAGAACACATGTTCTACCCCAGGTCCAATGGTTCAAGGGTATGGGCCCTGTAGGAACAAGTGTTCTGGGGAAGATGAATGAATGCTACAAGAAGTTGAGAATAATAGGGGAGTTTGCTGATGCTGGACAGCGAGTATACTGGTGTTGGGGATGCTTGGGAAATGGAGGCCGGATGAGGCAAGGGGATTAGAGTGTAAGAGATGAAGGGTGACTCAGGAACCTGGGGCTTCTTGTGGTGAGTGATATGATAGGTTTAAACAGAAAGAGACTCCTAGAGAATTCAAGTGCTGAGGGGGTTTTGAGAATAGGGAGTTTCTGGAGGAATGAGGTCTTGGGGGGCATCCTGCTGCTGAAGGTTAGGAAGTCTGGGTGACTGAGTTTTACGCTATCCTTGATAGCTGCACAACATGTACCCTGTACTCTTTCTGGTCCTTAATTTTACCCTCTGTCTCTCTCTTTTTTTTTTTTTTTTTTTTTGAGACAGAGTCTTACTCTGTCACCCTGGATAGAGTGCCGTGGTGTGATAGCTTACTGCAACCTCAACTCCTTGGCTCAAGAGATCCTCTTTGCCTCAGCCTCCCAAGTAGCTGGGACTATAGGTGTTGGCACTATGCCTAGCTAATTTTTTCTATTTTTAGTAGAGATGAGGTTTTGTTCTTGCTCAGGCTGGTCTCCAACTCCTGAGCTCAAGTAGTCCACTGACTCCTACTAATTTTACCCTATAAGTGAGGCCTTCATTGTCTGCCCTGTCTACATTTGTAACATCTTTTCTCCATGTGGCTTTTATTTTTCACATTAGCATTTATTAGTATTTAACATACTATAAAAATTACTAGTGTGTGTGTATTTTCCCAGCCAGACTGATTTATGAACTGCTATGTACCCAGAGCCTAAAACAATATTTGGCACAGAGTAAGAATTCAAAAATTGTTAGTTTTATGAAATCAGGTACACAGCTTATATTCTCTGTAATAGCTTCTTTGTCTATGGCACAGTGGCAAAGTTGTATGAAGAATTTGGTTAAAGTTTGATATTTCATAGAGTGGCTCTCCTCTGACATGAGTCAATGTAATTTTGTTGTCAAACATTGAACACAAAGAATACTTTATAGTATAAAATATATTTTTAATTTAACCTTAGTTCTGATTTTTATTTAATTTAATTTATTTTTAATTATTATGGGTGCATAATAGTTGTATATAGTATTGATAGGGTATATGTGATATTTTGATAAAGGCATACAATGTGTAATAATCAAATCAGGGTAATTGGTGTATCACCTCAAGTAGTTATCATTTTTGTGTGTTACAAACATTCTAATTCTACTATTTTTGTAATTTTAAAGTATACTCCAACTTACTATTGACCATAGTCTCTTTGTTGTATTATCAAATATTGTTCATTCCATCTAATTATCTAACTATATTTTTGTGCCTATCAATCATCCCCACTCTATTCCCCCTTCCCCACTGCTACTGGCTTCTGGTAATCATCATTTACCCTCTGTCTCTATGAAATCAATTTTGTTTTAATATTTAGCTTCCACATATGAGTGAGAACATGTGAGATTTGTCTTTCTGTGCTTGGCTTGTTTAACTTACCATATGTTATCCAATTCCATCCATGTTGTTGCAGATGGTAGGATTTCATTCTTTTTTTTTTTGTAGTTTTTTGCTGGGGCCAGGTTTGAACCCCACCGCCTCTGGTATATGGGGCTGGCACCCTACTCATTTGAGCCACAGGCACTGCCTGGATTCCATTCTTTTTCATAACTGAATAGTATTCCATAGTATATGCACACCACATTTTTTTTTATCCGTTCATCTGTTGATGTACACTTAGGTTGATTCCTAATTTTAGCTCTGTCAGTAGTGCTTCAGTAAACACAGGAGTATTCTGATTTATTTTAACTTAATTTTAACAAACATTTATCAGATTTATCTTATTTGTCAGGCATGGTTCTAGGCAGTAGTGAATACACGGATATCTTAAGGGATCTCCTCACAGGTTGGTAGAATATGAACATGGAAGCAAAATACCACTCATAATGAGATAAATGCTAAAAGAATAATGTTGCTATATTATCTCTAGGAATACAGAAGGGAGGCAGGGGAGGAAGCAGTGGCAGGAAAAGCTGTGGGTGGTGGTAATGACTTTTGTTCAAGAACTTGAGAGAAAATGGATTACCTGGTTAGGCAAAGAAATGCCAGACCAGGGCCAGAAGCAGAAAAGTGCTTAAGTGTGGGTAATGTCTGACACCGATAGTGGAATTTTTTGGTGAGTTTTTTTGTTTAGTTCAATTGATGTAGCACTTGCATAAAATCATTGGTAATTGTATGATTAGATCAGAAGGGATCTTAGGTTTTTGATACACTGAATTTTGATACTTTTAAGACCCCCCCAAACCTCATGTAGCTTAGTGCTCAGTTGCTTTGCTGGTTAAAGTCTTGTTTATATGAAATATTGAGTAAATTTTCATGCTGTATATGATATATTGAATAAATTTTCATGCTGGGTTGAGGTTTGAGTTCATTTTGGGTAGTATATTCAATAGCTTTAATATTTTTTATTGACTATCTTTGTCTACAGGTATTGGGAATTAGTAGCCTTTCTAGCTTGTACTTTGTTTAAATATAATCGTGTCAGTGGACTAAAATGTTCCTGATGCCAGCCTCTTCTGAGGTAAACAGTGGGCAGAACTTCTTAGCCCAGTGGATGGCCAATCCTTCCCGTGCTGGAGTCATATTAAATCGTGAATTTCCTATTACGGAAGCAGATGAAGAAAAGCGAGCAGCTTCAGATATTTCTACCAATTTTCCTATTAAAGCGCCACATTTTTCTAATAGCTTCAGCTTTATAACTGAAGAAGATTCACTTCATGAAGAACAGAGGTTGGAGTCTAACAGCTCTTACAAACTACAGTCAGATAAATCTGAAACCCATACAGTTTTTCCATTAATAAAAAAGGGACCTCAAATAACAGCATGTGAGGATACTCCTGGACACCAAGAAGATAACAAACATGATTTTATCTCACATCTTGCAAGTGAATTCAAAGAAGTGACTTACAAAGACCCACTTTTTAAAAAACTTGAACAGGTATGTATATAGTAGAATTTGGCCTAATATGCCTTCATGTTATTTCAGGTTTCTATTTATGTAGTAAAGATCTGTTCCAGGTCCTCTTGTTTCTTCCCCTTTACTCTAAAATCCTCAAAATACCAGATTTTGCCTTTTGTTTATATGAAACATTAAAATGTATTTAATGTGTAGGCTATAAGATAACTTTTTATCTTTAAGTTGCTATCCCATTTTGTAAAAACTATGTTAGAAATGTTTGATCAAGTATTAGATGAAAAAGTGGATGTT